CTAGATTTGTGGTGGCGCAAACTAATTGCAACCTGTTTGTTCACATATTCGTGAAGGACACCTCCCCTGTGGTGGGTTCATAGTGCAACTGGAATCTACCTACAAGTTAAACACATGTTGTATTACAAGGGGGGACAGATTAGCCAGGGGCTGGATTACCATGGGTTCTCTGTACATAAAATAATAGAAGCCTTTTTAGAATAGCATTAAAGATAAATTTTCTTATTATTTCAGCCGGGCAGAGTGGTTACATTAATACCAAGTGAGGACCCTAATAGCACAGTTTGGGGTGTTGCTTATAAAATAAGAAGTGAGGATATTGAAGATGTTACAAATCATCTAGATTTTAGAGAAAAAAATGGTTATTCCAAGAAAACTGTTACATTCCATCCAAAAGACAAAGGTTTAGAATCCTTTGATTTAACTCTGTACATAGCTACAACAGAAAATGAATCGTATGCAGGTAATACATTACATAAACATTCATGCCTGTCGCTCAGAGGGGTAGGCAGAGACTACAAACTTCCATTTGGCACGTTACTGATGCACCTCTCGCCTCCTTTGTGCCCATATACCTATGCATACATATTTGTCAGTTATGGGTATTCTTAATCTGACCCATATTCAATATATTGCTAATTTGGTCTATAAACTTTTGCCTATGGGATGTCCTTTCTTTCCGACTCTGTCGTTCAATTCTGCAACATAGATTTGCTTTGTCACTCTATGTTCATTCTTTCTACATGACCTAACCAATGAAGCATTTCTTTCTTAATCCTGGTCACAACATCATCTTACAAACCACACTTTTCTCTTATCACACGATTTGGGTGGATATGATTTGTATTTTGATAGATTTTAAATTATTTATTTCAAAACTTTTGTTTTTATATTTTGTAAAATGTCATTGCCACAGGCTTCTTCTACTCTTTTCACATGTTACACGTTATTTTTTTCCAGACTGTAAAAAACAAAAAACATGTGAACGGAGTAGAAGCCTTATGACACTGATATTTTACAAAAATAAAAATACAAATTTTAAATTAAAATCTATTGAAATTCAAATCATATCCACCCTACTTTATGAACAGCAATAAAACAATAAATTTAGTGGGCATCTGTGATCTTTTCTTTTCGCAGGGGCAAAGGGCAAATTAATTGTTAAAAAAAAATTTCAAACATTTTATTCCAAATTTTTGTTCTTCCATTATAAATAATGATATTCGTTATTGCAGTTTTTGAAAATACAAGTAAATGAGGCTTCTACATTCATTTTAAATTATCCCAAATTTAATATGATTTACGGGCAACAACATTTTTGCCTACCGATCGACCCTTACGAATGTGTGCATGCACAATTAAGTCAGTTAAAATAATACATTACTACACATTTTGAATTTAAAAGATAGAAAGGACAGAATGTTTGAGATTTTTTAAAGTTCTTTGCAAATTTGGTCGGTTATTGCAAATAACCCTATATAGTCGCATGTTATGTCACTCACAAGATGGAATGGTCAATGGATTTTTATTCATGCATCCATCCATTACAGCCTATAAAAGTCCGCTGTTGATCATAGATTGCCTCATAGGGGGATTTTGCCATAGTTGCCACGCTTGGCAGGCAGATTGGCAACCGCAGTTTTTATTGTTTTGAGTTATCAGGAAGGTGTTGCTGCCGATCTCTTGTCTCAGTTTCCCATTATCGCCTCTTACGACACGCACGGGACGATATGGAGTAGTGGATATTCTTACACCGCGCCTCCACTAACCGGTGACGGATTTTCATAAGTACTATAAACATATGTAATGATTTTTAATTTATGTTGTGCAAAGTACATGAAAATGCAAGAATAAATGTTACATTTCATGTTGCAGGTCCTGCATCAATAGAAGCAATAGCAAAGCAGGTGATAAATTGTCATGGCCCCAGTGGATCCAACAAGGAATATGTTTACAACTTAGCTAGAGCTATGAGAGAAATAGCTCCTGGTGTTGATGATGACCACTTGTTTTCGCTAGAAGCTGCAATACGGAGATTAGACAAAGATTTAAAATAGATTCTAGTTCAATATCTGTACAACAGTCTCTAAATAGAAAGTTAATAGTGTGGGCAGACTAAATAGAATTTGCTCTTATTTTTTTGTTAACCTTTGTTTCTTAGTTAATAATAATATTAAATTAATGATGTTTAACATCTTTAAGATTTTGAGTGAAATGTTGAACAATTGAAAAGTTTTTATTTTAGTATTATTATCTGTACCTCGGGATTGGGCTAAGCCAAATCATTCTAACCCTCCAGTCATCGTCATCACTACACCCCTTCACAAGTCCACTGCTGAACATAACCCAGTCCCAAGAAATTCCACAATGCATGATACTGACCTATCCTGCCTAACTTCCTGCGTTTTCTCAACATGTTATTTCCATAAAGAGCAATTGAAGAAAAAAGTACAAAACAGACATTTCCTGGTAGTCTAGTCTGTCTGTCTGTCCATACTCCGTATGATGATGCAGTTAAATTAAGGTATACAATACAAGACTGCAGCCCTTTTTTCTTTAATATCGTCTTCCCAGCAATGTAAGTGTGGTCGTAGTTACGAAAAAATAAATCCAAAAAACCGGCAAATGGAGCAGTTCAGAACCTGAAACAAAAGGTCCTATTATATGACATAAGTTTTATAATGGGATTATACCTTCCAGCACTGTGCCTATTACCTATTGTGGAAAATAATAAATGGGATACTAGCAATTTTTGATCATTTGCCATTTTCAGATCAGATGATTTGCGTACCTACTAGTTCTATTTAGTAAAGTAGACAGTTGTAGCCTCTGAGCAATGTCGTCCGGAGGAATTCCATACAATATGACTGAAAGTCATGTACATTACAAAATAAGCAGTGGAATCATACATTGATTCATATCGAAAACATATCATCATTGACTGATAAGATAAACATGATTATTATTAACACAATAAAATTGTTTGTGATATAATATCAAATAAGTTAGAAAAGGAATGCCTTACGAAAGTAACAAATTATGCATCCAATTTCCATAGATATAGAAGTAGCTATCATAGATATATATCGATAGCTTATTGGTTAAGGGTTTGGTCTGCAAATTTGGACAGTTGTAGGTTCGAATCCACAAATCGTCTACTGTTGTTAATCACTCCTAGTAAAAAAAAGTAAAAGTAAAGTTACAGCCTATATACGTCCCACTGCTGGGCACAGGCCTCCCCTCATTTCTGAGAGGGTTTTAATTTTACTTGGAATGGTTAATGAGAGGGAGTATTCGTAACGTTACGTACAACACTATACGTACGTTATGTAACATACATATAGTGTTGTTAGTATTCTTAAAGAAAAACGGACAAAGTGTGTCAGCCAAGCTCGAAAAAATAAAGGGCGATGCACCTGCAGTGAATATATGTATTTCCATGAACCCTTTTGATCCACTTTCTACTAATACTACACGATAATTCAAAAACCATTAGGCCTACACACTTGTAATTTTACATGTCTACTAAAGACCCCATCAACTTTAAAATTGATTAATAAACCTTACAAATTACTTGTGTTATTTCAGTTTGAACGGTATCGTTTTTATCATCCACTCACTCATCGAAAACCTTGGTCAAATCTAATTGACTTAAACTTGAAATTTAGCATCAAGGTAGATTGGTAGGCGTAAACAAGGAAGAAAATGTAATAGGTAATACAAATTAGTGGTCTTGAAAAAGTTATCGGTGCGGTTAGCTTCAAGTATTAATCGCATCAACAACTTTGTCGACATTTAATTCTTATAGATATTAATAAATAAGTATAGATTAATAAAAGTTAAAACTTTTATTTAAAATAATAGGGTTCCCACCAAAACCAAGCATGAATATAGGTTCATTTTTAGTACAAACGACGCTCCAGTAATGATTAGGTATCTTTTGATTAACAATTTGAGGTGGGATAGATCTTACCTGAAACAACAAAATACTAATCTGTGATTTTACTGTAATGCATTTAAATTTTATTATACATGTAGTTTTAGCCCAACGAAACTTACATTACTTAAGTATTTCAAACTAGGCTGTGAAGTTTTCAGTGTATTTAAACATGTAACAAAATATGTAACATTGTTTGTTGTTGAAAATATTGCGATAAAATATACATAAATTACAAATTATATATATATATATATATATATATATATATATATATATATATAAATATATATATATATATATATATATATATAGGTATAATTTTTTGTTGCCCAAAACGAATTTTTGTTGTAAAAAATAATTAAAAATACCATCCAACTGTTGTGTTGTTTCACTAATATTTATCGACATTTCCTTATTTTATTTTTTAGGTTAATCTCATGTCGTTATAATATTAATTGTTTTATTCATCGATCTTAATAAAACCACATTGTTTATTAAAACTTTTAATAAGCAAATATTTAAATATACCCTTTGAACGTTAAAACAAAAAAAATGCTCTGAGAGCATACTTTATAAATATTTACAAAAAAAAAACAAATAAAATGAACAAAAACAACATAACCTTCACAGGAAAATTCCAAACGATAAAGTGCTTGTTATTATACCGTTAATAAATATCTACTAATACCTATATTAATTTAGCACTCTGAATTTTAATTAATATAAATTAGGATTTGGTAGATAGGGAGTGTCACATGGCACGTATACCTACTATCAGTTATTGATAATCCATTCATTGCATTTAGTAGAAATATAGGAAGTTTGGATTTCATTTCATATCACATTATAATTACAAAAATATCGGTATTTAAATATTTTTTCATATCACGTTATAATTACAATATCGGCATTTATATATTTATTTTTATCTCTAAATAAAAAGATTACTATTGACGTCATTTAAGGCAAAACTAAGTAGTAATCTTGTTATAATCTTTGGCAGGTTTATTTTACTGCAATGCACTTTTTAATGTCGATTTATTATCATAAGATTGCCTTATCATTTCTCCTTATTGCGACCTAGAAGTTTATCCAGGAAACTTCTCTTTCTTTTAACTTTCTTTCCCTTGCTTTGATTATTTTCTTTAGTGTCGCCTTCAGCCGTCATCTTCTCAATTAAAGCTGGTATCGTTAAATCAGTCACTGCTTCATGTGGATGTCTTTTAGTTTCTCTGCTCAATTGGCGCTGTATTGTTGACAATTCAGGCACTCTATCATTTTTCTCCTCTAGTTCTGTTAATGAAGTTTTTGATTCATTTTCATTTTGCGGCTGGTCCTTAATGTTTAAATCGTTACAAATACCGTTACCTTCCTTAGGGTTATCTTCACTTATTATCTCTGGGCCGTTTTGAACGATTTCTATTTTACTATTCTGTATTAGGTCCGGATTTTCTTTTATCTCACCTGAAGAAAATGATGAATGATGCTGATTTTCTTTATTTTCAAATACATCATCATTTTCGGAACTATTATTTTTTTTGTCAACACTATCAACACTTTCGGTAGTGCTAGAAATTGATTTAGGGACTGAAGCCACAACTTTGGGTCTAGTTGGGGGTATGGACCAATCAACTGGTTTACGTTGCGGCGAATAGCGCTTGATTAACTCTTCATAAAGTTTTTGGTGGTCAATTTTAGACGATACTTCGTTATTAGGTAGGCTCTGATGTCTTTGCTTACTAGCAGGATCTTGGTTTTCTTTACCGTCAATTTCAGGTGATCCCAAGTCGACAAACACTCTTCGTGCAGGCGTCGGTGTGGAATATGGCTCCGCAAAGGGAAATTTGAATAAATTCGGACTCTCTATTTTATATCTCGTCACTGAAGTACTTTTGGTCGGCATCGATGCACGCACACCTGTGCGAGTAAACTGAGGGCTGCCATTGGGCTCATGTAAATTGGAGTTCAAAAAATCCCGCCGCAGTTTCGATAGGCGTCTAGTCCGTTCGGTCATGCTGTACCTGTAATCTACATCGTCGCTCTGGTTGAGTTCGGAAGTAAAGTTATCGGAATACTTTCGCGGTCGAAATTCGAATTGGTTTCTTTCTTCGCTCCTCGTTTCACGCATGCTGGAGTAGCCAGATGTGTTACGTTTGAAATTGGTCGTTGTTTTCCCGTGATTTGACGTCACAATCGGGTCCACTTCTTTATACACGGGCGTAGGAGACGTTGGCGACGGCAAAGGTAAAAACACTGTGTCGTGCTTGTCGAACACTTCGCGCCGTTGACTGAACTGCTCCACTCCAATGATTTCCCGCGACCTCACACTGGCCGTAGGCGATTTGGCCGTCATTTCCGTTCGATTACAAACCACAATTCTTTTGTTATTGATACTATTTTCCTGCAAACCACTGTATTTCTATTTTCGTGCAACACACATCATGACTTCACCGGTAACATCGCGCCTATAAAAGAGTACACGTCTACACTATAAATTGGACAATAAAGGTAGTCGGGTCGGCCGTATAAGGCGGGCCGTTCGCGATATAATGAGTGATCAATAGAGTGGTTCTGATAAGATAGGTGCGCCGTGTATCGCTGTACTTAGCCGTTTCTTTATCTTTAAGCATTGGAAACAGTTGAGTAAATAGCAGCGAGCGATTCTTGTATATAAAATGTACTCTGCGGCGAGCGAACACAATCGTTCTCGTAATTAATCGCGGACTGAGTGAAAGCCAACTGCGGCGGGCTGTCGATTAGCGAGCGCACATTATATAATGAATAATAAAACCAAACGTCCCAAATACGATATAGTAGAGAGACTTTGGCACTTAATTGATAATCTTTAGAATATTAAATAGACGATTACAAAGTTAGCTTTCCGCAGCGTAATTTTGTTAAATATTTACTAATGAGTATAGCAATTCCAATTAACCAAATCGGTAAACACTAATCGTAACTATAATTAACTTGTCATTTATATATGACAAATTAATATGCATAGTTGTAATATTTGAAATACAAAATAAACGTAAAATTCCTGTAAACTGGAAATAGACGAATACCTACTATTAATTTTTTTTCATTGATACGGTGTCAATTAGATATTTTTATAAATAAATAAATAACAATACTGCGGGTGGTTATATTATATCTATATGACCATAAAAGTTTTGTAAATTATAAATGGATGTCGTAGGTTGCGGACGTCAATTTACATCTACTACATTTCCAATAAGAATGTTTAAACACCTACCATACAATTAATGAAAAAATTTAAACCACAAAATACGACACTAAAAGCTAGTGATGAGCAGAGTTAAACTCACCTACTATAACTCTAATACTGTGAGCGCTATACACTATTCTATTTACAGTTAAATATGTACCTCGTGAAGTACCTATTATAAATGACCGTTAAAAATAGTAACGAGGTAAACTTGTGGCATTGTTATGGTAATATTTAACTGTGTAGGTAATACGCTTTTCGGTTAAGCAATGTTTTTAGCGTTTTAATGTTCGTATATTATGCCATTAACTAACGTCAAGAAATTGCTTAGGTATCTAAATACTGTTGGTTGAATACTCAAAGCTAAATACTTATGCATTAACATTTTAGTACAGTGATGGTTTTCGTTTCAGGATTATTTATTATCTGTTGAATTTATAGTATTCAACAACAACAAATAATAAAAAACTAGCTACCTTTACAAAACAATAGGTATAATTTATATGTACTTACCTGTAATTTAGAATTTTACCGTAATTAGGTAAGTAGGGGGTACATATTTTCGCAAACGCGAACAGGAGCTTTGTTGTTTCTGCTTTCTGAACAACATTTTATCTAGTAGGTAGTTACCTAGTAACTAATTTTTTTTTAAATTAACTAGGTAAATCTTACTGACCTTCTGGCGTAGTGTAGTGTGACCAACTGCCATGTAAAAAGCAATAAACTACTCAGAAGGTCACCAGCTTAAATTGTCAGATTCAGGTTAAATTACAGTTATTATATGATAAATGTACGTTTTTTAAATTTCGTCCACTGGTAGTTGGTAATTGGAAATACGGAACATCCTTCAAAATGTTAATTCCGACCTACTTACTTTTATAAGTTATTTACCCTTAGAGTACAAACTTGCTTATAAATAGGTACTCTAAAATTTTACCATTAAAAATATAAGAGCTAAATATAATTTTAACATTTTAACGTCACGCCTGTAATCCCCGAGGGAGTAGGCAGAGCTCAATTATTAATTAACGTGCTCTTTAGACTTTCTCCCCCTTAAGCCAAAAAAAAAACGCTAAATCGTAGGTGTGTGTAATTTCTAAGCAATATTACAGATTGAGAATGCATCAAAGGAGTGGAGATGTTTGTTAAATATTTAAGATCGAGTCTTGCTCTCACGTTTAATGTTCTCTATAACTTTGCTTAAAATAGAACTCTTCCATAGTGAACTAAGTGCTATTCTTAAAGAAATTTAAAATATTGACATGACTCCTAGTGACAAGGATTTGTTACGTCACCTACCTAATTGCAACACTAGGGTCTATCCGCGTAGAATCACAAACGACCTCATATTCAATTTCCCACGGTAACTTTTATTTAAACGTTGGTAAGATTATCCCATGTGATAATTTAGGATGTGGTCTATCTGTGTGCCAACCAGTTGTTATCCCGTTCCCATTGCCATATTGTAATCCCATTTCTCCCAGATTTGTCTGATAGATAAATAGCATAACTACTGTCCCATATAAAAATATAAAAACCTAGGAAGACAAATTTTTTAAAGTAGGGGTTTCTTATATTCCATATTTTCATGGTAGGTATTTCCCGTCCAATTGTTAAAATACGTGCATTATAATTTTGCAAATAACGAAAATTTTGATATCTCTAAACATACTAATTATGAGTTATACATTCTATTTAAAGAACAATAAAAAATTAAGTTAGAAGCTTTGACCATTTCTAAATTTAGTAGGTCGGAACGTGCTAACTTTAGTTAATCCGCATTTAATTGTTAATGGTTAATGCACCTTACCAGGTTCTTGGAATCGCGTATGAACATCGAGATCACACATGATATTCCAAAATAATAAATGCAAAACATCACGCGCATGCTATGTTTTGAAAGAGGATATTACATGATCCTAAACAATTTTCTAAATTATATCTTAATATAAAGTATAAAGCATGTAACATTTACTATCGTAATCTCGATGCTATTTACATATTATATTATGGACAGGCCTGTTGATCTAGTGGTTAGTGACCCTGACTGCTAAGCCGGAGGTCGTGGGTTCGATTCCCACCCAGGACAAATGTTTGTGTGATGAGCACGATCATTTGTTCTGTGTCTGGGTGTAATTTATCTATAATATTTATGTATTTAGAAATATATAAGTATGTTTATCAGTTGTCTAGCACCCATAACAGCAGCTCTGCTTAGCTTGGGACTAGATGGCGTTGTGTGATAGTTGTGGAATATTATTATTATTATATTATCTATGATATTTACAAAATATTTCAATTATCATAAAAAGTTTTAAGGGAAGTTTTAGTTTAAAGCACTTTCCGGGTTTTTATGAAGGGCAACCTTAGACTATTCTCTAAGGGGGCAACCGAGAAGAGACTAAGAGCTGATTGGTTTTGATTGAGATTTGAACTCAGAAAAACTTCTTGTTCGTTTATTTCATTTATGGCAAAATAACAGATTTCTTTTGATAGAAGTGAGGGTGGCAGCGACCATAGAATCCTGCCACCTCGTCTCTTCCCGTGGGTACCGTACGAGGCGACTAAGAGAGAAATGCCATAGTAAAAAAGAAAACATAAGCTTTGGCATCCGACAGATGGTGGAATAACCATCTCAATTCTTATGTCAGACCAAAAATATCCAGATCTGTGATTGGCTGCAGCGTGACAGGTGCGACATGTTTGATACTGCCATCACCAACCCGCTTGCCCAGCGTGGCGATAAAGCATAACCTTCTCAATGGTAAGCACCAAAAATACTGCCCCAGTACCCGGCCGTCCCTATGTACGACCTGCGCAAGGCGGCTGGCAGCAACTGGATGCGCGTAACCGAAGATCGGGCCAAGTCGCGCCTTTGGAGAGCCCTATGTCCAGCCGTGGACTGCTGCAGATTGATGATGAGAGTGACAATAACAAATTAATGCACAATTCACAGGATAGTAAGTGGATGCCGTGGCCTATGTTAGATGCAGATCCTTTGTCGTTCATAATGACTAAGATGGAAAGCATCGTTATCAGTAAGAGTCTCTTCCTGCCTCACACCATACGAAACATAGTAGGATTATGATTCTGAAAATATCTACGCCGTCTAAAGTTCATCGTATTTAGGTACTTACATGTAGAGCACTTTGAAATAGTATATGAATTTATTTTTCCTATTTCCTCCATTCTGTTGCAGCATCGTAAGTACTTGTTTGTTTAGCGTGAGTAGCGTCTATATTTGTGCCCATAGATAACAATTTGTTTTGTTAGTAAACAGCAATAGATTTACAGTTGAGTAATAATGAAATATGTGTACTGCATCGCATTCGCATTGTTGTACTTATTGGATTGGAGTGAAGAGAAGTGTGCTAGTTTTCGAAATAAGAGCCGTTGACTTTCAACCGCATTCGCAGTGTCATATTACAATGGGAATATTTTGGTTTCGAATATACAGTGGTGGTCATATAATTAAGAACGCTGATTTATATCAGCGTTCTTAATTTTTTGGGGAAGATTTTTTCAAACTAAAACACAAAACTAATTGCATGCAATTTTTTTTTATTTATCTCGGTATCGTAAAACGTTTCCATAATACCACTGTATTTTTATTGATACACATGATTAGAAAATCAACTTTTTACACTACTTCTAAACATAGTGTTTCTATTTACTGGCTGGTCACGTAATTAAGAACGCTGAATCATTTATAATTTTATTCAAATTGAAATAGAGAACACTCAGTTGATTTGTTGCTGTTTGTATAATTTTGGCGCCATTTAGTGCTGTAAAAGATTGAAAGTGATTGCTTCTTAGGGAAAAACAATGGAAAAAAATAAAAGTTTTGTTAAATCTACAAGGGAAGTAATAATAAAACTTCGCTGGAAGAATTAGTCTTATAAAAAGATAGCCGACCACCTGCAATGTTCAAAAACGATGGTTTTCCATGCTGTAAAGCATTTTGCTACGTATCAAACGACTTCGAATGTTCCACGGTACTTAAACAGAGAAAAACAACTCCTCGAGATGACCGAAACATCGTTCGTATGGCAAAACAAAATCCTTTTAAAGGGTCCAATGAGCTTAGAAAAGAATATTTTGGTGAAAACAACCCTTCAGCAATC